TCAGCACTTTCTGTGCAGTGGAGCATCAAACATCTGCCATAATCCTTTAACTGTCTCTAGTGGTTTAGTATCCATAAATATTATTAAGTCATAGTAGGCCAACATTAAAATTGACGCTATTAAAGAGAAATCGCATTTGCTTGAAGAAGTAGCCATAGCAACAACTATGTTCGCGCGCTTTCTGCCAGATCGTCTCTACAAAAATGTAAGTACTATTATTTATTACATTTTAAGATTTATATAACGCTATATATCATACGTACATTTATAAATATATCATAAAATATTAGTTTATATATCATAAAATGTTAGTTTGTCACAATTTGGTCGCGCGAATACTGCTGATGCGTAAAACGTCAACAAAACAGTCTGATGTGAAAACAAACCGAAATTTAGGTTAACCATATTGGTTTATAGATGTACATGAGACTCCCTGCTGCAATAAAAACAGTAGCTACTATATTCTAATGTATTTTTAAAGTTGTTTTTCATTAGCTAGCTTAAGCTGGTTCTTAAGCTAGTCAGGATCCAGACCAAAAAGGGACCAGCAAGTACAAGCAAAGACCAATACAAATAGTACACATTATGTCCAAAACCATGGGTACCATTATATCTCCTTACAGGTTGCTGGTTCGAGCCTCGGCTGGGTCAGTTGGCATTTCTATGTGGAATTTGTAGTTTCCTTCAGATGCTCTGGTTTCCCCCACAAGTCAAAGGACATGGTATAAGTGAATTGGGTAAGCTAAATTGGCTGTAGTGTATGTAATTGAGTGTATGGGTGTTTCCCAGTGATGGGTTGCATCTGGAAGGGCATCTGCTGCGTATTTTCTTGTTTTGGTCCAAAGAAATTCAGCTCGCTCACTTGATGCTGGTTTATGCTGGTTCTTGTTCAATGGTCACCAACACATGAGCCGGAAATAACAAGCTAGTTCCAGTAAAGAACCAGCTCTTGACCAGCAAAAAACCAGCGTAAAGTAGAAGAAACCAGTTTAATAGGGTGACTCGGTGGCTCAGTGGTTAGCACTGTGGCCTCACAGCAAGAAAGTTGCTGGTTCGAGTCCCAGCTGGATTAGTTGGGATGTTTGTGTGGAGTTTGCATGTTCTCCCCATGATGTTATGGGTTTCCTCAGGGTACTCCAGTTTCCCCTATAGTCCAAACACACGTGCTATAGGTGAATTAAATTACAGTGTATGAGTGTAAATGAATGCACATGGGTGTTTCCCAGTACTGGGTTGCAGCTAGAAGGGCATCCACTGCGAACAACATATGCTGGAAAAGTTGGCAATTCATTCCACTGTGGTGACCCCTGATAAGTAAAGGGACTAAGCCGAAGGGACCTGTTTAAACCAGCTTCAAGCCTATAGCTGCTTGTTTTTTTAACACGTGAACCACATGGATGCTTTATCGGGAGAATTTCTAGGTATTGTATTTAATATTTGATTAATCTTGAGTTCTCAAAACAGTGCACCTTATCTAGATGCTGTGCCAACAGAGTTTCATCAACGCAGTCGTGCAGAAAGACAAATGGCCAAGTTCAGCATTACATAAATTATATATCAAATTTGCTAACATTATATGGACAAGCTCAAAATGGAGATTTCTTATTTATCATTTTGTTACACAATAAATATGGGCACGTAGCATTGGAAGAGGGCAAGCAAATAATAACTGGATGTTAATTGCTGACTTAGCAAACAATTTTGTGGTTAATAGACGTTTAAAAGACATATAAACGTAGACAGCTTAGCTAAAACAAGACTAAAATCTATCAGTGAAAATCTAATAGACATCTAAGAATAGCCCAAAACTAGACTAGTCTTTAAATAGACAGAGTAGACTGACTTTATATGTGTAGTCATTCATTTCTGTTTATTTGATGACTAGTCTATTTTTGGGTTATTCTTATTGGCCTATTAGATTTTCACTGACAGCCCAAATTTAGCCTTGTTTTAGTTAAGACATCTATGTTTAGACATCTATTAGACTACTTTTAAAACAGAAAACAGCTTGCTGGGGAACTACCCACCAAGTAATTTTGTGTTTAATAGACATCTAATAGACAACTAGCATGGATGTCATGGCCAAAATACGGATAAATTGGTTCAAATCTAATAAATGTCCAAGAATAGCACAAAATGAGACTAATCATCAAATAGACAGATTAAACACACTTCACATGGTTAGTCTGTCTAATCTGGGTATTTGATGACTAGTCTATTTTGGCCTACTCTTAGATGTCTATTAGATTTTTACTGACAGCCCAAATTTAGCCGTGTTTTGGCCAAGACATCTATGTTTAGACCTCTATTAGACATCTTTTAGACTTCTTTAAAAACAAAAAATGCTTGCTGGGGAATACCCAAGAAATTTTTGTGTTTAATAGACATCTAACTTCAGAAAATAGTACAAAATTAAACTAATCATCAAAAAGATTAAAAAGACTTCACATGGTTAGTCTGTCTAATCGGTGTGTTTGATAGTCTATTTTGGGCTATTCCTATACGTCTATTAGATTTTCACTGACAGCCCAAATTTAGCCTTGTTTTAGTTAAGACATCTATGTTTAGACATCTATTAGACTTATTTTAAAAGGAAAAACTGATTGCTGGGAACTACCCACCCAGCAATTTTTGTGTTTAATAGACATCTAATAGACGTCTAGCATGGGTGTCATGGCTAAAATAAGGCTAAATATGTAAAAATCTAATAAATGTCCAAGAATAGCACAAAATGAGACTAATCATCAAATAGACAGATTAAACACACTTCACATGGTCAGTCTGTCTAATCTGGGTATTTGATGACTAGTCTATTTGGGCTTTTCTTATTAGATTTTCGCTGACAGCCCAAACTTAGCCTTGTTTTAGCCAAGATGACTATGATTAGACATCTATTAGACTTCTTTAAAAAAAGAAAACTGCTTGCTGGGGAACTACCCACCAAGTAATTTTGTGTTTAATAGACATCTAATAGACGTCTAGCATGGAGGTCATGGCCAAAATACGGCTAAATATGTAAAAAAAATCTAATAAACGTCAGAGAATAGTACAAAATTAAACTAATCTTCAAATAGATTAAACAGACTTCACATGGTTAGTCTGCTAAATGGGGTGTTTGATAGTCTATTTTGGGCTATTCCTATTGACCTTATTCTCCGCAGATGAGCGGGCGCTGCCATTTGAATCTTTTTGGCACGAGACTTCCGGTCTCATTCACTTCCATTCTATTTTAGACATTAAAAACTGCTCGTTTCGCTGTTTGATGTTGCAAACTGATATTTCCTTGTTATATTATTCTACTTGGTCTGTATAGTCATGCAAACATTTGTTTGTAGAGCAAGTAGTTTGACCGTTTTTTGCCGTTTATTATTCCTTGTCATTTCTCCCATAGGCGACTGAAACGGAAGTTCTAAGACAATCGCGAAAACATGCGCACTTCCGCATCTTAGAATAAGGTCAATACATCTGTTAGATTTTCGCTGACAGCCCAAATTTAGCCTTGTTTTAGTTAAGACAACTATGTTTAGACATCTATTAGACATCTATTAGACTTCTTTTAAAAACAAAAACTGCTTGCTGGGAACTACCCACCTAGCAATTTTGTGTTTAATAGACATCTAGCATGGGTGTCATGGCTAAAATAAGGCTAAATATGTTCATATCTAATAAATGTTCAAGAATAGCACAAAATGAGTGTAATCATCAAATAGACAGATTAAACACACTTCACATGGTTAGTCTGTCTAATCTGGGTATATTCGACGACTAGTCTATTTTTGGCCTACTCTTAGATGTCTACTAGATTTTTACTGACACCCCAAATTTAGCCGTGTTTAGCCAAGACAAGTCTATTAGACATCTATTAGACTTCTTTAAAAATATAAAATGCTTGCTGTGGAACTACCCAAGAAATTGTGTTTTTGATAGACATCTAATAGACGTCTAGCATGGATGTCATGGCTAAAATAAGGCTAAACATGTAAAAATTGAATAAATGTCGAAGAATAGCACAAAATGAGACTAATCATCAAATAGATTAATTAAACACACTTCACATGGTTAGTCTGTCTAATCTGGGTATTTGACGACTAGTCGATTTTTGGGCTTTTCTTATACATCTATTAGATTTTTACTGACAGTCCAAACTTAGCCTTGTTTAAGCCAAGATGACTATGTTTAGGCATCTATTAGACTTCTATAAAAACAAAAATTGCTTGCTGGGGAACTACCCAAGCAATGTTGTGTTTTGTAGATATCTAGCATGGAGGTCATGGCTAAAATAAGGCTAAATATGTAAAAATCAAATAAATGTCGAAGAATAGCACAAAATGAGACTAATCATCAAATCGATTAAACACACTTCACATGGTTAGTCTGTCTAATCTGGGTATTTGATGACTAGTCTATTTTTGGCCTACTCTTAGACCTCTATTAGATTTTCACTGACAGCCCAAACTTAGCCTTGTTTTAGTCAATACATCTATGTTTAGACATCTATTAGACTTCTTTAAAAACAAAAAAATGCGTGCATGTGACTAGCTAATGCAGCAAAAAATGTCACAAAAATGCAGTATTTAAATCTCATAGTTAAATAAAAACTAAGTCGTATAACTGCAAAAAGGTCCACTTTTTGATAAAAGCTACAGGCCTAAGACATTTTTTAATACAAAATGCCTGCTGGGTTCATTTTCCTCATTGATTAATTTGAGGGTTGGAGTATAATTTAATTTAATTAGCACGGCTAGCCGAGCAAGCCGTGCATAATTATACACATAATCCGCTTCTAAAGTTGTTCTAATGTGTTGAGAAAACACCTTCACAGTGTCGCTGCACCAACCCGATGCATGCACACATGCGTGCCGCTTAGCCACGCCCATTCGCCGGATGGAGCGACGCCGATTGGCTGCTATACATACCAGCGGACCTTGCTATTTCAGGATTGGCGGAGCCGCGCTTTGCCATTACGTTATGCTCTTTTCTACACACACACACACAAGGATGACAGAAAGAGAAGACGTAATGGAGTGCTCCTGAGCGTCCTTGCCATGAAAATCACTTTAATATTCGACAGTTTTCACAGACGGGAGTTGCAATGAAGGTATGTAAAATGAGAGATCGAGATTTATCATTAGCAAAAATTATTAATATCCATAAATCGATTCGAGGCTTGGTATGTCAACAATCGGAGTTAATAAGAGTTGCATCAGTTGTGTTGTTTGCATGCACCATCTGCAGATAGCAATGCGTGCGTTCATTCTTCTTGTGCACGCTTTTGCATTGAGAGTGTCTGCTTGGATGACAGCTGCATTGCATTCATTGTCGTTCAGCGGGAGATTTGATGCTATCGGCATCAGTAGATATCGGGACAGGTGCAGTGGACTGTGGACGCTCGGAACAGAGTGTACGACCACCGTAACCCAGTTTATCGCCGCACTTCTCTAGTGAGATTGGAGGATCGCCTCTTACCAGTAGCAGTCAGTGGAGGATGATGATGATGATGATGAGCTGATATGAATGGACAAGCGGCTCAGACAGTCATGGGGGACACAAGTGATTTCCCCGGCTAAAAACGTCACAATTAAATTATAGCAACCGGGATTATGACGTCAGAGCGGCCGTGCAGAGGATGGCGATTGGCGATAAGCAGCGATTCAGACGGTCAGCGGTACAGAGGTGGTTTCCCCCGCTGAAATGTCGCGATTTAATTGCGTGCTTGGTGATAATGACGTCAGATTAGCGATGGAGATGATTGTGGATGTTTGCAAGTGGCAAATATCGGTGCAATGTTATTTGGTGGTCATATAGTATCATGTTATGCAGCAGTTACTTCTAAAATGTAGAGGCATTGTGAGAATGACATCAGAATAGTGATTATTGCAGGACTTAAAGGTCGTATGGAATTAAAATAAAAACAAATTAGATGTAAACTTAGCTAGTGTGCTTCAAAGCAGTGACAACATTTGCGTTTTAAAGATATAAACGTCATGTAAACATTCAAAGCTTGCAGTTTGTCACTTTCGCTTATATGGATTGACGTTTTTATTGTTCTCATACTTCATTATCTCATCAAATTTTCCGACCAATCAAATGCTCTCTAGTATCTGACATGCCCTCCCACTTTTCTTATTTGCTCTTCATTTGATGTGCTTGAGCTCAACCACTCTCACTGGCAGAGCTGTGATAAAACAAAACGCTATTGGCTGTTTTTAAAAGGGGAGGAGCTACTATATGTCCCGCCCTCTCTTTATTTTTAAGTTGACATTATGTGAAACATCGAATAAATAATGCACATTTCAAAGCACTTCACGGGACTTTTAATTTCGTGCTTGGTGATAATGACATCAGATTTGCGATGGAGATGATTGTGGATGTGTGCAGTGTGTGGCAAATGTCGTCGTACAATGTTTGATGGTGTTAACATAGTATCATGTCATGCAGCAGTTTCTTCTACAATGTAGTTGTATGGTGAGAATGACGTCAGAAGAATAGTGATTATTGCAGGACTTAAAGGTTGTACATAATTAATATAAAACAAACTAGATGTTAGTTTAGCTAGTGTGCTTGAAAGCAGTGACAACATTTGCGTTTTGAAGATATAAACCTCATGCAAACATCCAAAGCTTGCAGTTTGTCCCTTTCGCCAGATGGATTGACGTTTTTATTGTTCTCATACTTCACTATCTCATCAAATCTTCTGACCAATCAAATGCTCTCTAGTGTCTGACTTGCCCCGCCCCTTTCTTCCTATCTGCTCTACATTTGATGTGGTTGAGCTCATCCACTCTTAAGCCTGGTTTATACTTCTGCGTCAGGTGACCGGCGTAACCCACGGTGCAGGCAACGCGCGCAGCTGTGCATTTATACTTCTGCGCGCTGTCTCTGTTGGTCTGCATTAACACTTCCGAAACGCTAGTTGGCAGTGAGGTGTAAATGTTCCTCTGTGTCGAGTTTCCTCGCTACTTTTTTGCTTTTCCTGAACACTTCCGGGATGTACAAGTGGCTCAAACTCGCTCATTTTGAGGCAGGAACCGGCGGACGTGCAACAACTTTAACTATGAGGTAAACACAAAACAAAACTTTCCATCCGGAGCTCCTTCACGGGACTCCACACTTGTAAACAATCGCTCGCGCAGCGTCGCGCCATTCGCGCGGCTCTCGGTCCCGCCCAGACTCGTCAGCGCTACCAAGCCGACGAATCACAGAGCTTACGCTACGCGTCGTTGCGACGTGTAGTTACATTTTTTGAGAGTTGCACGTCAGTGACGGCGATGGCCACGGCGAAGGGCTATGCGTCAGCGCCGTAGCATACGCCGGTGTTTGACGCAGAAGTATAAATCAGCCTTTACTGGCAGAGCTGTAATAAAACAAAACGCTACTGGCTGTTTGTTTAAAATGGGAGGAGCTAGTCCATGTCACACCCTCATTTGAGTTTCACTTGAGATTACGTCAAACATCGAATAAAAGATGCAAAGCACTTCAAAGCATGTGAAAATCCTAGTAGATCAGCAGTTTCTGAAATACTCAGACCAGCCCGTTTGGCAGCAACAACCATGCCACCTTCTAAGTCACTTAAATTAACCCCATTCTGATGCTCGGTTTGAACTGCAGCAGATCATCTTGACCATGGCTGCGTCCGAAACCGCATACTTCCATACTATATAGTACGCTAAAATCAGTATGCAAGCCAAGTAGTATGTCCGAATTCATAGAATTCGAAAATCAGTAGGCGAGAAGTACCCGAATGACCTACTACTTCCGGTGAGATTCTGAAGTGCGCATCCCATGCACGCTGCGCTATCACATAATGCCCCGTGAGAGAATTCATGGCGGATGTAGTACGTCCGAATTCCATTCATACTTTTCACATTCATACTGTATAGAACCTACTTTTCTAACGGCAGAGTAGTATGTTTAAATTCAAATGCAGTACCTACTGAGTAGTAGGCGGTTTCGGGCGCAGCCCATGTCTGACCTGCCTAAATGCATTGACTTGCTACCATGTGATTGGCTGATTAGAAGTTTGCGTTAACGAGCAGTCGGACAGGTGTACCTAATAAAGTGGCCCGATGAGGGTCTTAGCGAATTACAGAATAGAATGCAGCATCTTTTGTACTGAATAATTTAACTTGAATTAGTCTTCAACTAAGGCGTTCAGGTCACAATTTGACTATAATTAAATACAATTAAAACTTCATTAAATATGCAACGGTCAGGAAACTAACTCATAAAAATGAAATAAGAGTACATAGTAAGGTAAGTGAGTAAAGTCTGTTCAAATGAGACCGTTTTTAAACTTAGCGTTGACCTCACTTCTTTAGGGAGCAGCTGTGTAGGAAAGTGTATGTGGGTGTAATTAGAGGGTTAATCGCATGGCCGATAATTCAGCTTTATGAATAATTCCCTTCATTCATTCGAGCACCGCTGTCTGCCTTTGTTTTTTTTTCTTCTGTGGTTTATGTAATAAAGCACAGAATCTCCCCAGAGAAGCAAAAAGACAAACTCTCTTCCTGAAGAAAGCTTTGTTTCTGAGGATTTTTACTCTTCTGTGACGTTGCTTTTCTTAATCTGAGCACAGAAGCTTTTCAATGCAGACTGGAAAAAAGCAATAGGTTTTTAAATGGCTGTTGTTGTAGATTAGTGTGATATTTGTTTATTGGAGGTGATTATAATCCTGATATCAAGTATTAAAGAGCCCATATTATACATGAAATAGGGTCATATTTTGGTTGTAAGGGTCTCCAACAACAGTCTAAGGGTGCTTTCACACCTACACTTTTGTTTCGGAACGTATCTCGTTTGCCCAGTTAGCGCGGTTCGATTGGCATATGTGAACAGGGCAATCGCGCTCTGTTCCGCGCCAAAGTAATCGCTCCGAGATCGCTTGAATGAGGTGGTCTCGGCTCGATTGAAACGAACCCTGGAGCGGTTCGATTGCAGTGAGAAAGCGATCCGATCCGAGCGCGGTTATATCACAGTGTTTTATGTGTTATATGTAATAGGCTTACGGCTATATGAAGAGAGAATTATGAGTAAGGCGGGAAGTTTCGCGAGTCTCCGGATGCCCGCAAACGAGTGATGATCTCCCGGTAATCTCGTGTCTCTCTCCCAGTCCTCAAATAGGCATCATCGCGCACCCTTCTCACCCCTCCCCACCGTGTCTCTCCTCAGACACGTCACGCGCGCGCACCCTGTCAATCACCACCAAACCACCACCTCTCCTGACAGCTGAGCGGGACGCTGCAAAATAAACCCTGACACTCTGACCAATGTAAGGAGAGTTTACTCGCACGTGACTTGTTTTAGCTCTTTTGGTCCGATTAGAAACTTTGCAGTGTGAAAGCGAACCGCTCCAAGAGCAAAGAGCAACAATGTAACAATTCTAATCTCTGTTTCGGAACAACTGAATCGATTCACAGGTGTGAAAGCACCCTAATATGCATGCAAGGTCAAAAACACTTTCATGGTCTTATAATCTGCATTTATTTTTACCTAATAATCCCAGCGACTCCCGTATGAATCGTCCAGTGATTCATTTGTTCCCAAACCCCTCTTTAGCGCGAAGTTAATCTGCGCTAATTGGACTGATGACAGCCTGCTGCGATTGGTCGACTGCCTTCAGTCAGGGTGAAAAGCCAAACAGCTAATCAGCAATATAAAAGTAATCACAGTTCATACACGCTCGATAGTGTAGGCGTGGATTTTAGCTGCCAGTGGGTCAATGTAAATACAGTCGATGAACTTGAAAATTCAGACGACTATTTTATTGAGCAAAAACTGTCGAGATCACATAGCTTGTTTCACTCTGCTCTTTTCACAGACACACACACACACACACGCACACACATTGCCCTCGTCCTTGCGCGCGCGCGCGCACACACAAACACACACACACACACACCTCCGGACGACAACGCGCGCACACACACACACAAACACACACACATACCTCCGGACGACAGCGCACGCGCACACACACTACTCCTCGTCCACGGAGCTCCGTAAACCAAGCAGCACGCGTCGCGTTTTTAACGTGACTTTGCACGCGATAAGAGAATATAGCCAGTTAACCTGATACAGTACACGCGGTTACAAGTAACA